CGAGCACCCCTCTGACTCGTCGTGGGTGCAAATAAAAAAGTTCCCAGAGCCAGGCAGATGGGGCCTGCAGGGGAACTATTATTAAAAACAAATCTCCTGCCAACCCAGAAAATCTCTCCACAAAGGTAGTAGAGAAAGAAAAGTGTTTTATTATTAAATAAACATTCAACCAGAATGTGACTCGCATCACGGGCAATCCCCTAAGAGACTGCAATGACAGAAGGAAACCTCACCCTCTTACAGAGCCGAGCAGAGGCAACCCATCCCTGACGTGTTCCCAAGGCAAACAATAAATAGCCAGTCAGTCCTCCAGCAAGAGCACTTGACAGCCCATTTGTCACACGGAGTTTACCCCAGATTCAGCTAGTAATTGGGGTCACCATCTGTGTTAGCTAATTGGCTTTATCCAAAGGAAAAATAAAGTTCTCATAGCTTTAGGACACGAGATAGTTTTGCAACTCAGAGCGAGGCACCTGCCCGGTTAGGCTCCTGCGACTCCCACTGAAATGGGGAGACTGTCTCCTTTGATGATGACATTTCAAAGGAATGGCTCCTTGGTCCTTGGAAAAGACATTCCCGAGTCCTAAAGCTGCCCAGAGGCTAACTTAGCTTTTAAAAAGATGTACATACATCTCAAAAAGACAGAGGAAAAAACTTAAAATTCCAAATTTCCTGAAGTAAATGCTCTAAGAAGAAAAGGAAGGGAGGTGAAGTCTCTTTCCTTATTTCCAACAAGGAGAATTAAGCTTCTTATTCTTTTAATTGATACATAATAAATGTACACATTTTCAGGATACATGTTATTAATAAAATGTGATCTATTCACATAATTAAATCAGGGAAATTGGGAGATCCAGCACCTTAAATATTTGTCTTTTCTTTACGTTTAGGAATGTTCAACTTACTCTCTTCTAGCTATTTTGAAAAGTACAACAGGCCACTGTTAACTATAGTAGCCCTACTGATCCATGGAACAAGTGCTTATTTTTAACTTGTATTTGCTCTCACAGGCCCAAGAGGCGGCAGCAAAGGTCACACACGTCTCCACCTCCCACTCGGGACACACCTATCTCAACCCAGGTGCTGCGCAGGAGGTGCATGCTGAACAGTCTGTCACTCCTGTTCAACTTCCGGTCTGGTTACAGCTCCCACTTTCCTCCCCCTCTGCGATGCAGACTAAAAGTCAGGTCATTCTTAGTGTGCGGTGTTCTAGAAAGAGCATGTGCGATGTTTTGTTGTTGCTTTCATAACAAAAGGTGTCTAAGGTATAGTTTTGTGGCGCCATCTTGGCTCTCAAGCCAATGAGCCTCTTCTTGTTCTTATTTTTGGATTTTATTTTGGATAGTTCAGAGCACCTGGGGACTCCCAAACACGACACCCAGTTCCCTGGCTTTAATCAGTCATTCATTATTCCTCAGGTACTTAGTGAGCAACACTCTGTCTAATGTTGTTCCAGGCTTTGAAGAGGGTCCGTAGGATGGAAGGCTTGGCTCTCGTCTCTGGGAATTTACACCACACTCAGGGAGGCCACATATGGACGTGCGGAACAGCCCCAGTTAGGGCGGGACGATGCCAGCCACCAAGAAGCGGACGGTCAGTGACACGGGAGTTCAGAGGCAGGGTGGGCTGGGTGTGCAGGCAAAGCTTCCCGGAGAGGTGGAGTGTGGGGGTCCTTACATCATGGGCAGGATTCAAACAGGAGGTGCAGACAGGAAAGCCCCCTAAGCCTACAGAAGAGCAGGGGTGTTCGGGGGCTTCCCTAAGTTATGTGACCCTGAAGAAATGCTGCCACTGCTGTGGTCACTACTGCAACTACAAGGACTGCCTGCCTGGCATGGAAGCGTGACAGGCTGGCGCACACGCACAGGGCACACTGGCAATGCCAGGCGGGTGCACAGGGCCTCATACCCTGTGGGATCCCCTGCTCACTTCAGGCAACATTCTGCAGCCAGTGAGGGGAAGGCTGCCAGAACACCCTGGACTCCCAGACTGTCAAAGCCACCTTCGCTCCAGAGAGAACCGTGCAGGTGACATCCTAGAACTCACCTGCGAGGAGATGCTACGTGAGTGATTTGACATTCATGTCTGTCCAAGCAGGAGGCAGACCAGCACGAACACTCACTAGGCGCGGTTATTGTGGTTTGTTGTTCTTGTTGTCCATTTTCTGAAGTCTTACCTGAGGGGGATGATGAGAGGGGACTTCCTATGGCCTGTTGAGACCAAGAGTGTCTGCCTTCAAGGATGGTGGGTTTGGGGTGGGCACTCGGAGCTGCCTGCTGGCCCTCTCGCCCACTCTGTGGAGTCCAACAGGAGCACACACTTGGAGCTGGGAAAAGCATGGTGCATCCTGGTGTCAGCGAGGAGACCGGCCTGGCTGACGCAGAGGGATTGTCAAAAGAACAGGAAAAATAGTCTCTATAACATGACAGGGCGGTTGTGGTGACAGCCCCTGCAGACCAGTGGTGTCAGTCGTATGGGTCAAAAGACACCTCTGGCCTTCCTCTAACCTGTCCCCTGCCTTCAGGATCCTCCCCCCACCCAAACGCTGCTGCCCCTGTTATCTTCCCAGGCACAGATCTCATCAGATCACCCTCCTGCCGGCACCTCAGGAGGGCTCATGGCCACATAGCAAAGCAAGTTCAGGACATCCAGCCACGTGGCAGATGGCTTTCCCGTTATGAAATCATAGACATGTTGGCGAAGCTGAGGTACGACACCTGTATGGAAACAGCACACGTGGCCTTAGGCTTGCTTGGAGGAGAGAAAATGTTGTCCTGAGCTCAGCAGAAATGTAAGAGCATCAGAGAGAGCGCCCCCGTGGGGGGAACCAGCAAATGTGTCCGGCAGGTGCTCGCCATCTCCAGAGCTGCAGGGAACAATCTGGAAGCAGCTATGACCAATGTCAGACCCAGTGTTTCGAAAGCAGAACAAAGTGGCCACAGCCCCTGTCCCACCTTCTCACACGTGTGGTGTTCCAGTCTCTCCTATCATGCAGACTCCAGATCTTGAGCCATCTTCAAATTCTTCCCCTTTCAACTATTTTTCTTAAAAATAGCTCTCAGTCATCTCTCTTCTTCTCCGTCTCCTCTGCTCTAGGAATGTACTGGCCTCCCAGCCTTCCTGGGTCCAGGGTCCCCCCCGTATCTCCCCCAACACCCTCATAAATGGCAAGTCCATGGTTTCGCTTCCCTGAGCCAAACTCCTGATTATTAAAATTCAAACAGCCTGGCCTAACTCGGACCTAAACTTCCTTTCCAGTTTTAGTTCCTATTATAGCATCATCCTCACCCACCCTCTGTGCCTCAAGCAATAAGAGGTCTCAACCTTCTCCAACCTCAGTTTCTAGTTATATAAAATGAGAATAATATCTATTTTGCAGAGTTGTGAAAATTCGAGATAATCTATGTAAAACACTGAGCACAGAGCCTAGTGCAAGTAAGTGCTCAATAAACAGCTGCTGAAGTGAGCCTCTACCCTCATGCTTTTGCAGGAATTATGTCCCTACTGTCTCTCCAGCCAGAGTTCCATGAGGTCTGAGGCCTTATCCATCTTTGCATCCTTAGTGTCTAACGCAGGAAGTCTGGAAACATGTCAATTGACAAGGAGTGAAAAGAACTAGGCGTGCCTCACCTGGTGTTGGCGGGGAGGCTTTGGGTAGAGGCACCTGGCAGATCTCAGACATTAGAAGAGTATCGAAGGCCAATTTACATTGTGTCACTCCAGAGAGGGCAGAACACCACCAGGAGCTATAAGGAGGCTGATTTTAATTCAGGATAGGAGGGAATAGCCAACGTTTAGAGCGCTTTAACATGAGAACAGGTGCCAAATGTAAGCCGCTTGCCATTAAATAAACTCTGGTTACAGCTGGTTACAGCGGCATGTGCCTATAGTCCCAGCTGCTCAGGGGGCTGAGGCAGGAGGATTGCCTGGCAACACAGGGAGACCCTGTCTCAAACAAACAAACAATGAAGAAAACCAAACAAAAACAAAAAACTCAGATTACAGGTGGGTGCAGTGGCACATGCCTGTAGTGCCAGGTACTCAGGAGGCTGAGGTGGGAGGATCTCTTGAGCCCAGTAGTTTGAGGCCAGCCTGGGCAGCATAGGGAGACCCCATCACAAACAAAACAAAACAAAGCAAAACACAAAACTCAGGTTGCAGTAAGCATTCAGGGTTGGATGAGAGATAAAACCAGATCAGTGATTCTTAACTTTTGGGAGTCACAGATGTCTTTGAAAGTCTGATAAAAGTCCTGGATCTTCTTCCCTAGAAAAACGGCCCAAAACCTAACAAATAACTTCAGGAGCTTCATGGATCCTAGGTAAAAATCTCCTGAAAGCCCTTCCAGGACGCTACATTCAACTTCCCTTTTGAATGTCAGTCATGAGAGAGGAGGCATCGATTGCTGTCGTCTGCGTCTTCAGAATTCACAGCCCCCATCTGAAGCAACTCCATCATACCTGAAAGTTCAGTGCCTTTGCCACAAATTAAACACTCTGCATGTTCTTTGGTTAAATGAATGAATAAATGAAATAATTGATTGATCTGATCTTTAAGGAAAGAGATATGCTATGAGAAGGAGAAAAGAAAAGGAAAAAAAGAAAGAAAATGAAGGGTTTTTGAAAAAGACCAACACAGGATGCCAAAAGGTGGAGAAAGGCTAATCAGGCCCATGCCCAAGATGAAATTCTGATTTGATTTTAAAACCTCTTGCCCTCTGTGAATTTAGTTCTCAATTATTATGTAACCACTCACTGCCCTATTATTACAGTCGCTGCATTCCCACTGGGAATGAGCACTTACATTGTGTCCTGGTGGGTTTTTTTTCTTAGAGTATCATTATTCAAAGAATAGTTGATTTGCAACATAAACACCACGGAGGATAAGTCCCTAGAAGAAAATATCCTGTCCAAGAACGGAAGGATTTCTTGTTTGATAAACCGAGCTTAAGTTTCTCAAGGATCAGCGGGTTCTTCCGGTTGGGTGCGGAGGAGCAAAGATAAGCTGCTCTGTCCTGGTCAAGATTTCTGGCTGGCACGACTCTCAGCCCCACCGGCTCTCAGCTGCAGACACCGGTGGCTGCGGGACTTCAGGAGGCGCCGCAGGCTCTGCAGGGCCTCGGGCAGCCCCTCGCCAGTGAGGGCGCTGCAGGCCCGGAGCTCCCAGCAGCAGTCCTGGAACCTCTCCAGGCCCAGCCTGTCTCTGATGTCAAGCAGCGAAAGAGCATCAGGCGCCTCCTGCTTGTTGGCCAGCACCAAGAAGGGGACGCCAGCCATGTTGGGGTCGCTCAGGACTTCCATGAGCTCAGCCACCGCCTCGGGGAAGCGGGCTTCATCTGTGCTGTCCAGCACATACACGAGGATGTCCGTGCCTTCCAGATGGTCCTTCCAGCTGGCCCTGAGCTGGGTCTGCCCCCCAACATCCCAGAAAGTCAGCAACATGTGCCCAGGAGCTTCCAGAGGCTCCACATTGAAACCGATAGTGGGCAGGGTCTCCACGAGCGAGTGGCCCTTCAGTTTGTACAGGAGCATGGTCTTGCCGGCGGAGTCCAGGCCCAGCATCACCACCTGGGCTCCCGCCTTGTGACCTCTGGAATTCACAGAACCCATGACGGCCGCTGCTGGACCCTAGGGGAGAAAGGCCAGAGGCGCACATCAGCCGTTTTGTCCTGAAGGGACACAAATCCGTGTGGACACAGGGAAGAACTCCTACTTCAAAATAGGGGAAGTCTTCACAGGGCCGGGTTCAAACACAGGCCTGGGCTTTGAAAGGGCCAGGAAGTGAGAGTGTCTGAGTCACCGTCAGCTGACCTATGTCTGGGGCCTGCCTCAGAGAAGAGCGAGGGCCCCCCCCCCCCCGGGGGACACAGCACGTGGGCTCACATCCCTCAGTAGCTAAAGCAAAGAGGCAAAATGAAGTTCCAGTCAGACAGACCTAGTTCAATAGAAATTGCAGAAAGATGTCTTCAATTCTTGCAAGTCTGTGGCTTCTAACCTCTGTTTTCCTCCTATAAGCCTAAACCCTGAAATGGAAGCTAAGCTGGGTTCCGTGCACAGAGTGAAGAGGATGGTTCAGCTCATGGAAACTTCTGCTACCTTTGTAACTGTCCGCAGGATCAGCACTATGTCCCATAAATACAGTTAAGTGTCACTTAATGACGAGGATACGTTCTGAGAAAAGCGTCGTTAGGTAATTTCCTTGTGCGAACATCATAGAGTGCACTTACACAAACCTAGATGGCAGAGCCCACCACACGCCTGGGCTGTACGGTGTAGCCTTTTGCCCCTAGATCACACACCTGTACCCCGTGTTAGTGTACTGAATACTGCGGGCAATTGTAACACTTTTTGTAAGTATTTGTGTGTTTCGAAATATCTAAACATAGAAAAGGTAATTCAATGCACCACGATGTTAAGAGGGCTATGACGTCGCTAAGCAATAGGAATTTTTCAGCTCCTTTATAGTCTTACGGGACCACTGTCATATATGTGGTCTATCGTTGACCAAAATGTCATTATGCAGTGCTTGACTGTCATGGCTATTTATAAATACTACTGACTGTGGGCAAATTTATGAGTCAGAGCAAAGTGGTTTCTTCCACTATCTTACCAAGATAAATGACCTCTAGAACACTCCATGTGTTTTTAAAGAACCCCAAATTCGAAGACATAATACCTGTTCCCAACTCAGGAGATGCCCGGGTGGGACAGAAAAAGGGACATCTCACCTCCAGGGCTGTATCTCAGCTGCCCCTGGAGGAAAACAAGACAGACTGTGTCCATCCCTCCTCCCCAGGATAGAAGAGTAAATATTAAAATTACCTCTGCGTTATTATTAGCTTGTGGCTCTGTTCTCTCGCAGAGCTGCTTTCTGCCGTCAGGCGTGTCCCAGGAGCGAGATGCAAAGGAAGTGTAGCGACTGTTGCTGCTTCTCCTTTTTCTGTTTCCTTTTCCCAGGTGGTTGGGGGGCGGGGCGGGTTTCACAGCCCCCTTCCTGGCCAAGGGCGCCCGGAGCAGTCATTCTCATAAGGACCTGCCACAAAGATGTCCCCAGCTCATCAGCTCTGGGCAGAGCGAGGCCGGCACCCACCCGTCTCTTAGCAACTCAGACTTGCACCGGCTCAGAGCGGTGCCAAGGCCAGCTGCCTGCTTCTGCTCTTCCCTGCACAGCCCTGTGACCTCGTCGGGGAGCACTCTGAGAAAAGGGCCTTTGGCTTTCAGCACATGCCTCGATGTTTTTCTAGTGTGCGGAGATCTTTTATTTGCTTGGAACCACTTATTTTTTTAAAAAACTGCCTAAGTATGATTAAAATACTGTAAAAGTAGGTATATATGTTGAAGGTGAACCATAAAAATGTAAAAGTTGTGTTAATGTGGAACTTAACACAACTTCCGCCCATGGTGGAACTGTGAGCGATTAAAGTTATTGCTCAATTTTTTCTTTTTCTTTTTCTCTTTCTTTCTTTCCTTTCTTTTTTAGAGATGGAATCTCTAAACAGTCTGGCTCTGTTGCCCAGGCTGGAGTGCAATGACATCATCATAGCTCACTGCAGCCTCGAACTCCTGGGCTCAAGTGATCCTCCTGCCTCAGTCTCCCGAGTAGCTGGGAGTAAAGGTGCGCCACCACACTAGGGTAATTTTTCTAATTTTTGTAGAGATGGGGTCTCACTCTTCCTCAAGCTGGTCCAGAACTCCTAAAAAGCCACTATTCAAAAATTATCTGATCCTAGAACCTAATTTTGTTTGATATATAAATGCAGACTATTTTTTGCATGGCTTTCATATACACTATACTTTCCAGAAACACAACTGCTATCTGAATTGAGGGAAGCGTGTGCTTTGTTTTGTTTGGTCCTTTACCATGAGCTGTTCATCGTTTCAGAAAATCACTGATAGCAGCGCTTTGAACAGCAGGGCGGCACTGAAGTTGCGGATAAGACGCACAACGACATTGATAGCTGCCGTGGCCCTCATGTGGATTCCATGTGGAGATGCAAGAGTTTGACAGCTTGTGCTTGTGCCTAAGCAATTATGTATGAGAATATATATTATTTTATTATAAATTACCTTCTTTTATTTATGTCTTATATTGCAGTTACAGCATTACACTGATTTTTTTTCAAGATTATGTGGGGAGGCAGATTCTATTATTTATTATTTTCATTTCTAGATTTTTAAAACAGATGTTGTAAAATATTAGTTACATAAAAAAAGAGCTGACCTGCTCTGTGTTAGGGCCCATTGATAGAGGAGGACATAGTTGGGTAGAGGAAACTGACAAGTAAGGGACCAGAAGTGATGGTGCCTGGTGGGATGACAAGGGGAGACCCTGAATTGCAAATCATCCGTGGTGACAGCCAGAGAGGCCGTGGTCGTGCCCTCTGAATCAGTGAGCTCTCTTCCTCCAGGGTGGCACGTGGTCTCCTTCCTACACGCAGCCTGCTTCTACCTTTGAGCCATGGGCTACCCGGGAGCACAATACCGCCTTGCCAATGTGGGCAACAGTCACATGGGGACAGACGAAGGAGCCGGCAGGAAAGAGTGCGAGTCTTCCATTAGAAAGATGTCCCTGCTCACCACGGGTTGGGATTTTCATGGATGAAGATCTAAATTGATCACAGGATACAGTAGATGTTGATTGCAAAGATATTTTATTTATATTTATAATAGATAAATGATTTATATTTATTATTTTATTGTTCATGTGCTTTTTAAAATATATATATTTGTGATTTCTATATGCCTTTCCATGCTTTTCCTAGGTAATTGGTTTCATGGAATATTGCTGATCTATCGCCCTCCACAAAACTCCCGAGAAGGACAGAAGTCTCTCTGCCTCTTTCCTAGTACTCTAACCACAAACGAGGCTTTCAAAATAGAGGGTGAATCGATAGGAAACATCCTACAAGAAATATTTATCCAGCAAATGGCATGTGGAAGCTGTTTCCCTGTGTTCCTAAGTCCCGGGTTGCGTCCACTCCTCGTGTCCCTTGCAGCGTCTGGAAAGCTGGACGTCTTCCTGGTCCTGTCCCCACTGCCCACGCTGCGTCCTGAGGGTGGAGCTCCTGCCTTGGACGCCTTCTTTGGGTTTTTCTTCCCTTTTCTGGCCAGAGTTTCTTCAACAATCCGCAGCCCCTTTCTTTCCTGTGTTCGGTGCACTTACTTAACAATCAGGTTGCCAAGTATAGCCCAGCCTAATTATAGCCGTGTTCCACGTGGTTGTTATCAGAGTATACAGTATACACACTTTTATACTCTGATTTTTTTGCTTAAGTTTATATCAAGAATTACATTGCCTTATTCCTACATAGTCTCTAATAAAAATTTGGTGTTGGCTTCATAATCGTATTATATCAAGGGGAAATATTATGATTTACTTCTATCTAAAGTCTACAAAAAATAATGCTGAATTAAAGTTTTGGTGAGCAAAATTTTTCTCTTCATTGGGATTATTTTTGCTGGCTAGATTGACAGAGTTGGGACTTCTGGGACAGAAGAAATGAACACTTTATGGCTTGCTAAGATCATTCGGTATGTCATCATGTTGCACTACAAATGCTTTGATTTTACATGCTTGCTTTTTATTTTTGTTTTCCTCTATAGGCTGAGCCCCCTACCTCCCAGGCCCAAAGCTGCCAAGCCTGAGCTCCTGAGCACTTGGAGAAGAGGGAGCAGCTGGGTGTCCTGTCCCCAGACCACTGTTGTAGGGAGAAGGGACAAGGTGCTGTGACATTGGTGGAGTAGAGAAAACACTCCCACTGTTGTGGATTTTGACATAATGCTTATCATGATTATGATATTGGCAGCTACCACTTACTGAGTTTATGTTAGGCATTGTATGGTTTCATTTCCTCCTCACGACCACCTTGCAGGTAGGTATTGTGATCACCATTTTATAAAGGAAAAAAACGGAGGCTCAGAGAGGTGAAGTAACTATGCTTTCAGCTACAAGTTACAAAAACCCAACTGCAGGTGGCTGAAACAACACGATTTTCTTTTTATCTCACATGACAGTACATCTGGAGGGCAGCCGTTCCAGGTTGGTTTGGCAGCTCTCGTGTCATCCAGGAGCCAGTGTCTCTGCTTTGGCACCATCAACTCTTTGGTGTAGCAACATCAAGCATCTCATCCTCACACAACTGAATTTAAAGGCAGGAAGAAGGGAAAAGGTGGCAGTCTTTGTGTGTGTTTGTGTGCACGTGTACGTATTTATTTAATCAAGAAGGAACTACTTCCCAAAGCCTCCCAGGCAATTTCCTCTTGTATCTCACTGGCCAGGAGAGTAAGATTACTTGGCTTAGCCAGGCTGGGTCCGTCTTTTCTGAGCACATTGCCCCCCACCTTCCAGGATCTGAATAAAATTCTGCTACTCTTAGCAAGAAGAAAGTGGGAATGGTGTGGGTGGAAACAATGTCTACCAAACTTTCTTCCCTGACATTCCATGGCAGATTTTCTTCTCACAACACAATGCAATCCTCCAACACCTTTGTCTCTTAACACGTGTTAACAGTGTGTGTGTGTGTGTGTGTGTGTGTGTGTGTATGTGTGTGTGTGTGTGCGCGCGCGCACGCGCGCGCCCGCGCGTCCGTACGTGCGTATGCATGCACAGG